AAAAAAAAAAAAAAAAAAAACTAACACCGTTTATTTAAATGATTGGATCCAAACTATTGGTTATTCACCAACCAGGAAGCAGATTTCTCATCTCCATTAAAATATTTATTTTATACCGAGGGACTTAAAGTTTAATCAAATCCAGTTAAAAGAAACTTCTTATTACAGGAATGAAAAGAGATGCTAAGTTGTAGAGAACAAGTTCATAAAAAAAAAAGCAGTTTTGAATTATCCTTATCTCTGTTACAAAAATCTACAAATATATATATATATATATATATATATATATATATATATATATATATATATATATATATATATATATATATATATATATATATTTGGGCAGAAACTGAACATATGCTGGATGATGGTGGGATTTTTTTAATATGTCATATTAAATTAAGCGCTCACAGGGTTCATACAGGAATGAGTGACTCTAATTTAATGCTATTTTAATGCTATTAGAAATGATTTTAATGCCATCAACAAGAATCATGTACTCAAGTTATTAGTGTACATGAAATATGAAGGAGCTGTAAGCAGAGTTCCATGACTCCTGTATGTATGTAAACACACACACACACATATATACGTATATATATATCCTCTAGCTTTTTCTCCGCCTCGAGCTTCCTTTCCGAACATACGGCTTTATAAACAGTTCCACGCAAATTAATAGCGATATAATATCTGACGAAATTGTTTTTAGAAGCATTTTTATTAAAGAATCATAAATGCAACGATAAACATATTTAATTAATTTTAGTGCCAATTAAGGCCTTGATTAAAAAAAGAATTATGAATTGTAGTTATTTTTAATGATCCACGGAAACCCTGGTTCATCGAGGAAACCCCGTTGACTTCTCTCATTGGCCCCGGAGGATTGCATGTGGATGGTCGTTTGGTGCATGGCGCGTGTTTTGAAGCTGCTTATGGAGAAATGTCTTGGGCCGTGAGTAGTGAGGAAACAGGAAGCGATTCTTGTGGGATGGAAGAGGGAAATAGTGACAATGAAGGTTGGAAGATAGCAACATCAAAAAATGAGAAAAAGCGGAAAAAACAGAGATCAGTTCAAGGGGAATCTAGTTCAGAACAATCCAGTGATGATCATTCCATACATTCCACAGCACAACAAAATGAATTCAAAGTCATATTCAAAGTCGTTAATCAGGCAGACTCTTTTACAAATTGGAATCCGGTTCACTTAACAAAAACCATCAATAAACTTGTCGGAGAAGTCAGAGGTGCCAGAATTCTGTACAGTGGAGACCTGCTAATTAACTGCAGAGACAGCGCCCAGCAAGGCAAAGCAATACGGATCAACAAAATTGACGGGATAAGAGTTCAGTGCAGCCTAATGGAGAACAAAAAGATCAGCAGGGGAGTCATTGGAGGAGTTCCTCTAAAAATTTCTGAAAAAGAGATTCTGGAAAACATAAGCGGTGCAAAAGTAAAAGAAGTAAAACGGTTAAAAACAACAAGAAACGGAGAAAGATCTGACAGTTTATCAGTGCTAATTAAATTTGAGGAAGAGCAATTACCAAGCAAAGTATTCATCGGTTACATAAGCTATAATGTCAAAATCTACAATCCTCCACCATTGAGATGTTTCAAATGCCAAAAATTCGGTCACATTGCAGCAGTTTGTAAAGGGAAACAGAGGTGTGGAAGGTGTGCAGGAGAACATGAGTACGGAAAATGTGGAAAAGAAGCTAAAATAAAATGCTGTAATTGTGGTGGAGAACATACTGCTGCCTATCGCGGCTGTGAAGCAAGCAAAAGGTCTGAGGAAATTAAAAAAATGAAATTTGAGCTCGGAATAACCTACGCTGAAGCTGCAAAAAGGATCCCATCTCAGTCAGAAAAACCCAAACCTACAGTTCAACACACGGCAAATTCCAAACCTCTAGAGAATCAAAAAATTGATGAAGACTCACTTATTGTTAAAAAGACAAATTTTGTTCTTTTCATGGTAGAAGTAATTAATTGTACTGCACAGACAACAAAAAAAAACGGAAAAAATCAAAATAATAGTGAAGGCTGCAGAAAAATATCTGGACATTAAAGATTTGAACTGGGAGATGGTTGGAAGTATGATGGGAGGACCGATGGGACCATCAGAAACTGGCAGAGTTAAGATGACCTAGAGTAAATTAAAAATTATATGGGCAAATGTGATTTAGTATTATGTTGGTTTAAGTTACACAGGTTTTTTTTTTTTTTTTTTTTTTTTTTTTTTTTTTTTTTTTTTTGGGGGGGGGGGGGGGGGGTGAATCGTTTTCTGTTTTCTTGCTTTACTCCATATCAGTTGGTGGCGGTAATGCACAATTCACAAGTCTGCCAACCGCCATAAAACCCCATTAGAAGAAGAAGAAGAACCCTGGTTCATCTGGCGCATGCCCTCTATGATCTCCAAGGAACTCAGAGCGGAGGGGACGGAGCCACAGCGGCGGCTGTAGGCTTTGCTTTGTGCAGGCGGTCTGGAGCGCAGCGGAGTGGAGCGCAGACGGAGTATGTGGGATTTCGGGGTAAAACTCCTCTTGGACGCGATGGCGACTCTGCATCGAACAAGACGAACTCAAAGAAGAGATGCTAGCGGTAAATATATGTTCGATTACTGCCTGCTAAGCTAAAAGCGGCCTAGCCTGAGCTATGGCTAATAGCAGCCTAGCTATTAGCCTATCTACCCTAGCCTTGCAAGAACAAGCTTTATTAAAGTGCATTTTTTGTGATTACAGGAAGCAGTACGCCGTCTTAACAACTCGGAGACTAATTGCAGGCGCTATGAACCGGAGCAAGGGTAAGATTTAAAGAATATGCTTTCATTCTGCGGTAAAAGGTAATGGATACCGATCATAGCTTAACATTTTGTTTTCACAGACCTCCTTTTTGCTCGGAGCCATAATCAGCAAGTCCAGATTTGCACGATGATGATAAAGACGACATTGTGTGTAAGTGACTTGTTTTAATGTTTTCTCCTTCCTTGTTACTGTGACTTGCGTTTGATTTTTTATTTATACCACTCTCATTTAATTGTTTTCCAGCTGCCTGTAACACGTATTTTCAGACGGTACGCAGGAGCTTCAGATATACGCTGCCAGCCACACGTTGCATGCGGAGGCTATCTGCTCGGAGTCGGGCCAGAAGAAAGAGGGTAAGACTTTATTTGGTGACTATTTTTCAGGTGCATTAATAGATGTGTTGTGTCCATACGCAGTGCGCTGATTCATTGTTTTTTTTTTAGCTGCTGAAAGCGAGGCAGAGTGTGCTAGCAGATGAGGAAGTGGAACTCTGGAAGTCCGCCTTCCTCGGTGGTGTCTCTGGATGGATTGTACGGTCGCCGCCATTTCGTAGGCCGGATCTCACTGAACTCTGTGTTAAGCTGCAGTCCCGGTTAGAAGCGATGCCGAAGTCCAGGGCCACGCACAGTAGGCGTCTGCACATCGGACCTGCCTCGGAGGGAATGCTGCCTGTTACCTCCAACCCCGAGGAAGCAAACGGACCGTTCACGGACTTTTAATTTTTAGAAACGCATGTGTTTGGATACGCGTTGTATATAGTTGTGTGTGTTTCAATAAAGCTCTTTCTTTGCATAAACAGCTTCCTGGCAAATGTTCATTTCCTGTATAAATTCATTCATGTCCTTGATGGTAGCATAATAATTGTGTAGTAGTGTAGGATAACATAAATACACACCATATGAATGAATAAATATATGAATGAATAAATAAATATATATATATATATATGAATAAATATATATATGTAAATATATATATATATGCCAACCAATCACGAGCGACTTAACTAGTTTAAAAAGAAGTGGTTCCGTCCAATACTCAGTAAGAAAATTAAAGCCTGGCGTGGCCACGTGTGGTTTTGCTGCCAATCACGAGCGATTTGATTTGTTTGAGAATAGTGGTTTCAGCCAATACTGAGAAGGTTATTCAAGCCAGACCTGGCCAGCCGCGCGGGTTTGCTGCATTCATATGCTAATTAGGGCCATTAGTACAGCTGATCGCTCTCCACATACGTCACGGTACGTTTTCGACAATTTGTGGCACGACAAACGCGGACAAGCACGGGTTGCAAATTGTCGGAAACTGACGAAAATCAGGCAGATCTGCGGGAGTTTACGGGGGTTTACGGGGACGAAAATCTCACTTTTCATGCAGTGAATCTGCAATCATTGTGTCATTTTTAACATGTAAATGGAGGAAGAAAGAGCAGTATCCCTCCAACAACCAGCACAATATGACAGCACTTCTGTCACATATTTTTTTTATGGAACATAATTGTAGGAGTTCTGGATGATGTAGTTTGTTGTCGAAGGAAACATCTCTTTGAATACAGTCACAACATATGTAAACGAAGGGTAGTAAAGGTCCGGCTGTCTTGTTGCTCCTGCAATGACGATGTTTAAAGCAGCGTCTGTGGCAGGATAGGCTGGTATCTTTGTGACGCCCCTGAGATAAGGAAAAACACAGCATGTTACTGTGGACATTAACTCAAGTACAACTGATGTTTTTCCCAACAATCCCTTGTGTACACAGCATAGTAACATATTTCACAAACCTGACTTTTTCCATAGCTGATTCAGTGTCAATGAGTCCCAGTGTGCATATTGAGATGGAAACATTGCTCTTCTTCATTGCCAGTTCATGATTAAGGGACCCAAAGAATCCATTTAATGCAAACTTTGTTGAGGTGTATGGTAAAGTGAAAGGACTTGTCATTTTAGCTGCAAACCAAAGACAAATGTGCCATTAAATTATGGATATTAAAAATAGCTCTTTTATGATCAGCTTGAGCTTAAATGGCAATATGAGTTTGGAATATGACATTTTTTTAAACAAGCCTTTATGGGTGTGGGGATAAGGATTTTTCCCTTATTTTTCCAGCCAGTGACTGGAAAAATAAGTGTTAAAGTTGTTTATATATAAATACCATCTATGTTTCATAGCTTAGGTGTAATTACAATACTGATAGAAACTTACCTAATAGTGATGAAACAACCACCAAAGATCCTTTACTTTGCTCAAGAGAGGGCAAAGCTCTCCAGGCCATCTGAGTGTAGCTGAAGAAATTTACCTTTAAAACACAAAAACACATAATAAAACATCAGGGCAATCCCCTGATTGTACGCACAGGGAGACTGTCTAAGTGATCCATTACCTTCATTAACCACCTGGTATGTTCCACATCTCCCTCCCACACGCCAAAGGGAGTCGGGCCAATGTGGTTTAGAACCAAGTAGTCCAAACCTCCCAGTTTCTCCAGAGCAAAATCAACCACCTTGTCAGGGTCAGATTCACTGGCCATGTCTGCTGCTATATAAAAAGCTTTCTGGGCTCCCAGACTTAGACACTTCTCAGCTACCTATGAAACACAAGGAGAAAAGTTTGATAGAACAGATTAACAGGACAACTGGAAACAACAGCTGAATGCAGGTTATTTTTACAAAGCATTTAGTTGTAATTCAGTGCTTTAAATGTAAGATAGCATGGACATGAACTAGATGACTGCGATGGGTTGGGATAGCAATTGTAAGTAAGAACGTCCTGCAGGTAGCATTAGGAAATTAGAAACAAATTAGGAGATTATGAAATTAAGGCGGGCTGCTCAGTGGTGCAGTTCCTTCCCAGCCGGGAGTCTTTCTGCATGGACTTTGCATGTTCTCGTTGAGCGTGCGTGGGTTCTCTCGGGGGTCTCTTTCCGGGTACTCCGGTTCCTCGCAAGCTAAATTCATGGCTTCTCTAAATTCTCCTTAGGTGTGAGCGTGCATGAATGGTTGTTTGTCTCTGTGTTGCCCTGCGATGGACTGGCAACCCATCCAGTGTGTACCCCGCCCTTAAGACAGCTGGAGATAGGCACCAGCTCTCCTCGCAACCGCACTTGGGATCAAGCGTGTCAGAAAATGGATGGATGGGTGAAATTAAGGCAGGATAAGTGGAATTAAAGCTGTAGTGATGATGAAGCTGATTTAGGAAAATGAATGAGATGAACAATTAAAATGGAAAAAAATATGAGGAGTTTTGAATGATGATGAGGATGATAGGTTTGGATGAAGGTCCAGGAAGCCCCCTAATAAACCTTCAGAAGGACTCGCGTGTTTTGTCAGGAGCTGATAATCTAGGATCCCCTCCTGGTTCTGTTACCCTGGTAATCAGATTATGGAAAAATCTGAAGACAATGGATGGTTGGACATGGAACGAAAACGGGTACGAATAAGTGATAAGAAGGGAAGAAAGGATTCAGGACAAAAAGGGGTAAATTAAGATAAATGAAGAGATTAGAAGGTTTTGAAAACATAGATCCGGAATCCTGAAAATGGGATAAGAGATAAAAATGGGTGAAAATAAAGGTGGATGTAGAATATGTTGGATTAGAAACTGTAGCAATGATACCTGAAAAAGTTAGCAGTATGAGAAGAAAATTGTAATGTAATAGAGCAGTGGTTCCCAACCAGGGGGTATTCGTACTCCTAGTGGTCAGTGAGTGCATTGCAAGGGGTACATGAAAATATTTAGTTTCTTAGGTAGTAAAATAAAATAGGGCTGGGATCTGTTTTGCTTTGTGAGGACCCAGCTGAAAAAATAAACAACCTTTTATCAACCAAAAAGTAGGTTTTTCTTATGTGTTTGAGTTCACCTTCAGCTGTGACACATCAAAATCAAGCAGAGGAAGAGACTGGATGTAGAGAACAGCCTGGGATCAGCTGTTTTTCACAATGAGCCACAGAGCTCATAAAAGCAGCTTAGGTGTTTTGATGAAAACAACGTAAAATGAATTAGAACTATAATTTTTGTTCTGTATTTTATTCCCAATTCATCGAGTTACTCAGAGGAGCTCCAGTTTTATAAATACAGGTTTATAATAGGATTTTATTTTGTATTTATTTCAATTCCTTACTAACTTCCAGGCAACATGTTTATGTTGTTTTTTTATTTGAGATGGAAACAATAAAATGCCCAATAATTAAATTCTCAAGTTAAAATATGGAGTAAAACAGTTTTTATTTTATAATCAGTTATTGTATGTTCCACTTTTGGACAATCATCAATACTTTTAAATGAGACTGGTACCCATGGTAAGACAAAATGCCCAAAGGGGTACAAGTCAAAATGTTTGGGAATCACTGGTGAAGAGGAATGCAGATAAGGAAGAATTAGACAAAAAGTACTGATGAATGAGGAAGTGAGGGGGAATGATTGAGATTGGTTAAAGAAAGCTAAAGATGGTTACTGGGTTGAGGGCAGAGATTAATGAAGGAATATCAGGATATAAAGCGGGAGCTCCCAAAATATTAATGCAACAGCCGTTGACCCCCTACGAAGCAATATAATTGCTTCTCTCTATATTTATTTATAGATATATATTATATTCTTTTTTTTATTCTAAATGACATATAATCATTTAATGTGTTTTATATTCTTTAATTTAATAATTCAGTTTTGAGTTTTATAAGTAAATGGTATATTTGATGTTCAAATTGTGTTTTAAATAAAAAAAAAAAGATACATCTACATATTTCGTACATATTACAGGGAACCCCCTGATATGAAGAATAAAAGTGTGTAGGGATGCAAGGACTATGAATACAACAAGTTAGAAGGATGAGAAGAAATAGTAATAAATAATCGAGTAAGGAGCAAAGACAGCGATAGGGAAAGAAGAAAAAGATAAACGATGCTGATTAAGCATGCTATCATGGAAAAGGTTTACTAATTGATAAGATTAGTAGATATGAGTGTGGACATTTTCCTGTTCATGGATCTAATGAGGATGATAAAGTCAGTGTGTTGGAAAACTGGTGTTTGGTTCTTCCCCTCCACATTCAGTAAAAATTGATTGTTATGCTACCTGACACTACATATTATAACCTGTTTGCAGACAACTGGCAACAATAGACAGAATGAAACAAGTTTGCCAAACCTCACCTGCTGTAAAACCTTCTCCCTCCTCGCTGTGATAATAATCTGGGCTCCAAAGCGAGCATAATGATATGCAATTTGTTCACCAATACCTGTACTGGCTCCAGTCACCAACACTCTGGCACCTTTGAGAGATTCTAAGAAAAAAAATCAAGAATTTTCAAAATACATATATATCCAATATTAGAAATATTCAAACAAGCACAGAACATATTGTTATTTGTGGCATATATATATATATATATATATATATATATATATATATATATATATATATATATGTGTGTGTGTATATTCAAGTTCTTAGAAATTTCTACAACAGCATAACATGTAGCTCTTATATGCAGTCTACTTTTCGTTGTATAGTTTTGCATGCAAAGAATATATAGGTTAACTCAGTCTACCATAGCTTTTTCGTTGGGAATACCTCTTATTTTTATGGGACACTCTAAAAACCATAAACCCAATCAAAGTCCCTCTCTGGTTGTTTCACGCTGATTGGAGCTCAAATGACTCAGTACAAAAGAAATGTCTACCCTGACCTTTAAATGATGCAGTTGCTTAAAAGATTACATGCCACACCCAAAGATATTAACACAGTGCTTTCAACTGTAGTGAAATCAAGTGAATATTTGTGTAAAATCTACTGTACAGTGTGTCTTTCTGGGCCGAATGAATGCTGCATTCTTTCTGTTTATTCCCCTGTGGAAAAGCAGATTATCTGCTGAAACAGTTAAAGATTATTTTGCTAGATATCCCAAAGCACTCATTAAAATCTCATAACCATTATTTTAATGCCTATTTCTTTTTTATCCAAGGCAGAGCAAAAGGCATTTTCAGCATATGATCACCAATACAGTTGAATAATTGTGTTTGCATAGTTCATATGCAAGCCAACAAATAGAACAAGTGTTGATATTGTATATAAAGTTGACAAATGTGACTAATAGTTAAACCATACATTTAAGAACTTCCAAGGAATTTCATATATGGACTGTAAATCAAACAGCCTTCATATTTAAATCTGTATTTGAGTTTGGAAAAATGTACAATTTGAGAACCTTGGACTATCAATGCAATGGATTTTAGAGCATGCCTGACTAATATTTAAAAAATCAGACAGGATGTGTTTTATTTTTCACAACAGAACCTCATTTAGCAGTATTTGGGTGATGGTGTTCTGCAGTTTTTACGTGTCCCTGTTCCAGCAAATCTACTAAAAGAGGTTCAAAATCTAATATTTAACCTAGGGCTTCCAGATGCACATAAAAAAATGCGAATCAGGATCCACCGATGACTGGAGTTTGAGACATTTGGTTTAGATTATAGCCTTTGAGCTAAGAATTTCTTGCAAAACAATAAGGACGTATGCTTTGCATGCACTCATTTTTTTCTTTGTAATTCATCAGAGCAAATTCATCAGTAACAGCTGACTTAATTCGTTAGAAAAAATCTTTTATAAGGTGCACTGTTCTATGGGACCCCCTTGTTTTCAAATCAACACTTGCCATGCAAAATAATTTATCTGTATACAAATAAACGATAAAAACAGGGCTGTGAATACACTTCTAATGAAGATCTGATCTATATTTTCAGTGCTGTATAATATTTTAGGCGTAATACTATTTTTTAACTCACCATTTCATTTCTACAGCTCAATGTTATGTTTTGGAAATTTATATGATTCACCTAAAATATGTCATGGCACATTTGAAGACTACTTTTAGGGTGCTGTGTCCATTATATAGAGTAATTTATTAAACAGTATGGTTTGCATTTTGTAAAAGACACAATGGATAAACATACTGAATTCAAATTTCTATGCTTCAGTTTTTCAGTCATAAATAAAAACAGCGCCTATACCTTAATCATTAACTTTAGACAAATATTTGGAAGGATTCTTTATGCACTAGGTCATGGTATCATCTGCAGGATTAACAACTCTCATCATCACCCACTAACAGTGATACTCCTACATGTTTCTTAAAACTTCAGGTTTGATCTAAACCAAGAAAAGAAGCAGATTATTTTTGATTTAACATACCTGGGTCGAATCTTGGTGCAGCCCACTGCATTGCTAAATAAGCAACCAAAACACTCACAATCACAAACGTTAAAATTTTTCCCATTTTGCAAACCTGTTGCAAGTTCCAGGCAACTCTTTCACAAATCTCTCTGAGCTGCAGAAGCTTTCACAATCTTTCACACTTCTGAGCAGCCCATTATATAATAGGTCCCCCACCCTCCTCAAACCCGCTCCCCCCTCCTCCATTTCTCTCTCTCTCTCTTTCTAGCTTTTATTAGCTTAAACAATCACAACAGTATTTTGTTTTTTTTTCCAACTTATTATATTATCAAATATTGTTTAGAAATTTTAATAATAATTTTCTCCCGAAAAGGCAAATGTTACATTTGAAACCACTGAAGTTGATATTTCTAACGAATCTGCCGCGGAGAAATGCGGGACTATGCAGCACATCTGAACAGCAGCACAGAGAGCAGGCAGCGCAGCGCTTGTCCTTCACTGCTCCTGGCTAGCTTGTGTGCTCTTGGGATTTTTTACTGAAACAGCAGATAAAGGGACAATACAAAGCCGGACGATGGCCGCACGGATTTGGCCTTTTGTGAAGTTAGTGCTTTTTATTTTCCGGGAGGGTCTAATTTAACGTTTGACGTTTTGATATGCTAAGTGGCCGAGTAGCCACCTAGCTCGTCCAAGCTAACAGTTTCCAGTTATCTCTTTCCAAATGTACTGTGTTTAACAGCTCAGTATTTTATTGTTAGAATGGTGTTGTGACTATCTGTGTATTTAGGGAACTTTGATTAAATGACAGAAATAGGCAAAGCTGTTATTATGGTTTATTGCTGCTGTTAGTCTACTACCAAAGGGATAATCTTAATCACAGCATTATAGTAGCAGCAATATTTTGTGTTCTTTGAGTAAAATATTTCATTATTACAAGTCTGCACATGTTCCCTCACAGTATGGCTGCCTCCATTCCCCTATTAACAGGCTTGCCACCAAGGTGACCATTGCAGGGGGAGCGGTTTATGTTGCCTGTGACTCTGGTCTGCTGGGAAGCAGTGAACAAGGCTCAGAAGCCCTGGAGAAGGCCAAAGCTGTTGTCCCTCCGGCCTTACAAGAATGGATCAAGTATTTTGGTCTGGAGGTACTGAAGTTAACATTTCCCCCCACAATACCTTATGGTTTTGTTTAGAGACTTGGCATAGGTAGTGGTGTCAGGGTTGGCAGACAGGTCTAACAAAGTGAAACTTGAAAATCCTCTTAACATCATTCTATTTCTATGGCTGTAGGTCATTTAAATAATTGCTCTGCATGTGTGCTACAGTGTTGTTTCTGCTGCTCAGTAGTAAATAATGATTCTTAAACCTACAAGAGCACAACAACCAACAATCAAAGATAACACTGTTTTAAAACTACATTAGGCATATTTAGGTTGGCACGTTAATCACCCAAATGCATATTATATAAGAGTAGATTATTCTGTTTAAGCTTTTTTAACTTCCGGTGTTAATCTGATGAGCTGAATGACAAGAACGAATAATATCCTGCCAAGTAAACACTTGGAAAAATACCACTACTATACTTAATTTTGAAAATGTAGCAATATAGAATTATGTAACAATGAACAATAGAGGTATTTGTTAATTTTCTGTTTTAAGTTAAACCCATTATTACTGAATAATTAATTTAAGTAAAAAAATACTTTACTTTAAGTAAAAAAATAAAATAAATAATATATATATATACAGTGAACCCTTGTTTATCGTGGGGGTTGCGTTCCAAAAAGAACCGGCGATAGGCGAAATCCGGGAAGTAGAAACCTTAATATTTTTTACAGATATTATACTATGAAATACTCCATAAAACTGGTAGCTGTTTCATTTAAAATCAGCTGGCCATTTTAAGCATTCAGAAGAGGCTAATTGCATATTAAAGATTTCTTTGCCAACTTTGTCTTAGTGGCAAATAGGGAGTAACAGGAAAAACACTAGATCATTTTAGAATCTGTATGAGAAAATGTTTTTTAGCCAAATAATGTTTTACCCATACAATGAATTTGCTTTGGTAATAAGGTTCAACAAATAGACAGAAATACAGCTGATTATAATAATAGTAGATGCATATTAAATGTGAAATAATGAAATGCAACTTGCATAAAAAAACATTAATGCATGTACTGAAATAATTTCTATGTTTTTAAAGGTACAGAGGTCAGATTTAGCATGGTGGAGAAAGGACAAATTTAGTAGCAGTTTAAAGTAACTATGCCTTTAGTGCAACAAACTGGTAACCAGTCTGTGGAGGTCAACTTCAAAGCCTTGCTGCTCAGTTTGCTAACAGTAATTTGACTGTTATTTTGATAATAGTGGTGACCTATGCTCTTTAAGTTTCCATGCACCTGACCTTCCATACCAAGTCATTCCTGAAAGTTCTTTATTTTGTATTTTAAAAGGAACTGTTTAGATCTCAGGATACCTTGACCTATTTATTACGGTGACACCTTTTAAAATATATTTCTGCAAACTGTAATTGGCATAAATCAATTGATACACCTTCACCCACTGTTCAGTGTTGCATGAAATCTTCAATCTAACGTCAATTTTCATTTTGTCCGCCTTCAGGCTCAGCTTCCAACCATGCCTAAGATGGAGTTCTCCCCGGTCAACTCGTGGAATGCTGGTAAGAACAGGACGTCAGCTGTCACGAGTTGGAGCTTATGATTGTGCCTGTTAATGATCTAGTTTGCTCATTATAAAGCATTCAGTGATGCCTTAACAGATGAGGTTGCGATAAAACTGAGTGGTTAAAACCTTGTACTTGTTTCCTCTCTGTTGCAGGAGTGCGGTGGACAATATCTAGCCTCTCAGAGGCCCCGACAAAAGCGTCCGAGTATACAAGTCAGGGACTTCAATATGTAAAAGATCTTATCAAGTGAACAGGACCTCCTTGGATTACTTCACATTATTAGCGTTTGACTTTTGCACTTGATAAATAACAGTACTCCAAAGTCATCATCCCCTTCCCTTAAGAGAAGATATGAAAAACAAATGCTGGGTGAAGAATTTCTGAATTTAACTTAAAAGTGGAATTTCATTGAAGTTGTAAATAAAGCAGGGAAACATAATATTTTTGAATATAAATGTTGGTCTATACAGCTTAAACTGTCTTCAGTGTTTAGTACAGTTGTATGCCCCTGTTCTCAATCTGTTCCACATATTGTATCAAAGAATATCTGATGTGTATATATCCAATTTCCCCATTTGCTTGCAATAACACCAAATCTTAAAACTGCTTCTGTTTGAGCATTTTTTTTTTTTTTTGCAACTGTGAGAAAAGAACACCACAAAACAGATGTGCAAAACTTTTATTACAACAGAATGATGACAAAAACTTGTCATTTAGATTCTGCTACAACTTTAGAACCAGGGAAAAATTAAAGCAGAGTTACTCATGAGTTTGGTTTGCACAACAAACACTTAAGCACAGCCAACAGTAATGCATAGTGTTATGTATTTGAATTCAATGCAACTGAACTGATCCTAGCATATATGGTCAGTCCCAACTTTAAAAATTTCAAACATCCAGGGACCATTCAGCGGATGCAACCAGAGTTTTGAACCGAAAGAAAAGTTAGCTCAAGGATACATAAGGCTTAGTAATGAGAATTTAAAGATTGGGAAAAAAAAAACTTTTTAGCAAGCATGTGTTTTAAGACTATAAGGCCCTTTAAAAACTGAAGTCAGATGCAGATTTATTTTTTTGCTCATAATCTTACACCAAAGCCAGAAAGTGAGCCAAGCATCTAAACCAAAATATATATATATTATAGACAATTATACATAAATTTTACTGATTAAATACTGTCATCTGAAAATTCTGCAGCATTATCTTTTTCTTCTTTCCTTCATGCGTAATGTTTCTGTAGAACCTTTAATGGAAGTTATACCATACTTAAACCTCGTAAACTATACAATAAAGTGCTGCACACATCAACATAGAGATCACAATGGCAACAATAAAGCAGGTTACATTTGAATAGAAACTTTATAACAAATAGCTAAGATTCATCTTTGCAAACTGATGGATTACTCCTCTTAAACTGTTCTGTAACATAATAAAGTGGTTTCATGTAGCACTTTAAGAGGAATGGTAGGTACAATATTGCCAAATTGTGACTAGCAGAAGGCACTTTATGCATTACTGTGCGTTTAATTTGAAGATTTTAGCATTTTCCTTGCAACCGCAAAAGTGCAATATAAACGATTTTTAAAAGCACATTTAAAACTTTGTAGCACAAGTTTAACAAGAAAAGCCAGGCTTGACACATAAAGTAATATGCAGCCGATTAATACAGCACAACCATAAATGCTGCAATACTAGATTAAGAGTGCAAAGGTGCGAGAGAGCATTGGCATTTAGCAATATAGGGGTCAGATAAAGGTGACTGCAAGGTTTCTTTCCGCTGATGCCTTTGGGTATCAACAGGAAATGAAAGCTTGGATTTCAGACACTTTTTGTGTGACAAATTTAAGATCGACCTCTGGGGAAAAGTGAAACAATAAGACACCCTGTTCAACTTTCAAAGTCAGAGCCACTTATCAATGGCAACAAAGTAAATGTAATAACAGGACAAATCTTAAACTGAAATCTATACAAAAGATTGCCCAACCTTTAAAAGAATACAAAGCATAGCAGTGCTACTGTTCTGCTACGAATATTGCACCACTTTTTGAACAAATAAAGCATGTCAACTACTTAACCTAGCATGGCTTTGAAAAATAATTTAACAATGAACAGAACACAAACCGATGGAGAAGGGCCTTAAGACAGAGATTTAAGTGTCCGCTGTGTTTAGGGGGTTTTGACCAGATCATAGACATGAATATGAAAGTCATCATCATATTTGATATAGTACACTGAGGGCTTAGCTGGGACCTGGTAGATGACCAGGCCAGTTCTCTTCACGCCCTTATCGGTAACATACTCCACTTGTTTCCCCACCAGACTCTCGGTCTCTTCTCCCGGCTTTCTGTCGGCGGGCAACAGGTGCTTGTTTTCTGAAAGAGAGTGAAATATTACAACAGGCGCAGTAAATTCGCAGATAAGATCACAAACTTCCCTTTAAAATATTGTGGCATCTTAGGATGGTTTTTCAACATACTGTCCAAAGGTAGCATTTTG